CGCGGCGGCGCTGTGAGGACGCTGCTCCGGGGCCGCGCCGCGCCGCCATGGCGCTCCGCAAGAAGAGCGCCAAGAACCCGCCGGTGCTGAGCCACGAGTTCGTGCTGCAGAACCACGCGGACCTGGTGGCGTGCGTGGGCATGGTCTTCGTGCTCGGGCTGCTGTTCGAGGGCACGGCCGAGGCGGCCATCGTGTTCCTGACGCTGCAGCACGGCGTGCCCGCGCCGCCCGACGCGCCGCCCCGCGCGCTCTACCACTACGGCGCGCGCGACCTGGCCACCGTGTTCTTCTACGCGCTGGTGGCCGTCATCGCGCACGCCACGCTGCAGGAGCACGTGCTGGACCGCGTCTCGCGCCGCCTGCAGCTGCCCAAGGCCAGGCAGGGCCGCTTCCACGAGGCGGGCCAGTTCGGCGCCTTCTACCTGGCGTCGTGCGCCTGGGGCGCGTGGGTGCTGGCGGCCGAGGGCTGCCTGCGGGAGCCGGCCCGCCTGTGGCGCGCGCCGCCGCGCGGCTGCATGACCTTCCACGTCAAGCTCTTCTACGTGGCGCAGCTGGCCTACTGGCTGCACGCGGTGCCCGAGCTCTACTTCCAGCGCACGCGCAAGCAGGACCTGCCTCCGCAGCTGGTGTACATCGGCCTGCACCTGTTCCACATCGCGGGCGCCTACCTGCTCTACCTGAACCACCTGGGGCTGCTGCTGCTCACCATGCACTACTTCGTGGAGCTGCTCACGCACCTGTGCGACCTCTGCGCCCTCGGCGACGGCAGGGGCCAGCGGGAGCTGTCCCTGTGGGCCGCGGTGTTCATCCTGGGCCGGCTGGTGACCCTGGTCGTGTCGGTCCTCACCGTGTGCCTCCACCTGGCGGGAGCCCAGGCGCGCCCCCTGGACCCGGACGCCGCCAGCGGCAACGTGAACGTGCTGGCCGCCGAGATCGCCGTGCTGTCGTCCAGCTGCACCATCCAGGCCTACATCACGTGGAACCTGTTCAGCGTCCAGCTGCAGCGGTGGACGACGGAGGACGCCGCCGCGCTGCAGGCCCCAGCTGCGAAGAGGAAACGGACGAGAGGCAGGCCTGCGAGAAAGGGCCCAGAAAACGGTGTGGCCGCTTCGAATCGCGTGGACTCTCCCCTTAAGAGGAAGGAGAAGTCGTCTTCATGAAGGACACGCCCCCTGGTTCACGTCCCCACGGACGCCCGCCCCCTCCTAGAAGATGCCTCCGCACTAGAGAAGTTTCCGTTCTTGCCGATCGTTTGTGCTGTGTTGATTTTTGCTATGGTACCGTGTAATGTATTCTAAAGGCATTTGAGGGGAGAAGGATGCTATGAGTGGAAAAAACAAACAAACTTGGTTTACACTAAGCTACTCGTCCTCAAAATAATTTAGGGGTCACCACCATATTTTGTTTTGTGTTTTGCCTGTGAACGTTTTCCTAATGATGTGCAGAGGTAACCACGAGATTCTGAATATCAGTGACACCATTTCTTGCTCGCACCAATCTTTTATAACATTATCAAGAGGGTCTGTTAGAGCGAGGTCATATTTTTAATGTTGTCTTTCGGTATAAAATGGGAATATTAGAGATGTCATTTTCAATAAGTTTTCAGTATTCTCTAATTCTCAGAAAACTTTTTTAGAATTTACAACTGGAGAAAAAGTTTATAAATCCACCAAATAAATGACTGGGTTTTTTTTCTTTGGTAGTGGTTGTTAGTGTTAAATCCCCATTAAAAAATACAAAATGCTAACAGGTAACATCTGTGGAGGTTTGTTGCCATATAGTGAATCAAATTATCTTGAATTACTATAAAAGTATTACTGAAGAGATAAAACCATTCTTGTCCATTTTAAACACTTGTAAACTAGAAATCAGAAAATTAAATATTTAACTCTAAAAAAGGAAATCAGACTTAGTTTTTTTGTTTATTAAAAATTATTCTTAATGAGGCTTGTTGTTAAGTTCAGTATCCATGGCATCTTTCAAAAATATCGTTTAACCTGTAAATGATTTAAAAAATAGTGCTTACTTGCTTTATGTCTCTAGAAAATGGCACCTGCTTAAATGTGGAAATCAGGTAACACTAACCTTAAGTAATTTGAAAATCAGTTGGATAAATAGTCCAATGAGAGGCGTTTTAGAAATAACGTCACAATCACAGCTTGGCTTTCATCTTTAATTGGGAAACATTTACCTGTGTGAGACATTTTGGGGATAAATATTATATATAGTTTGTATCTTTACAGAAACCAATAGAAACAATGGGCTGTGGTGGGTATTTTTTATATCTATCTCCTTCTCTGAACTTTGATTTCATTTCCATATGTCTTTATAGTTTTTCAGGAGACAATGTTTTAAAAATATGGTAAGATAAGGGCATACACAGCAGGTCCTTGAATAACATCATTTCAAAGTCATTTCATTATAACATTGATGAGAATTAAAAAAAAAAAAAGGATTCTCGGCAGAGGCCGCTATCAGTGTGGAGGTTGCACTCTTCACCCCGTGTCCGTGGGTTTTCTCCGGGGCTCAGCTTCCTCCCCGATCCCACAGGTGTGCAGTCAGGCGAAGGGCGTGTCTACACTGTCCCCGCCCGAGTGACTGTGGTGGGTGTGGTGGCCCTGATGGAAGGGCGTCCTGTCCAGGGTGGGTCCCCCCTGCGCCCTGAGCTGCCGGGAGAGGCTCCTGCCCCGAGACCCTGAAGTGGAATCAGTGGGTTGGAAACTCATTCCCTTACTTGTGTGTATTCATCTTTCTGAAATGTTTGTAGAGCTCACATTTATTTCAGCGTTTCATTTTAGAAACGTTTGGGTCTTTATGTAGAAGTTTGGTGGTGTTTTTGTGACCAGAAGTATATCATAGGAACTTAGCTCTTTTTTCTATCAATTAGCCTTTGGTAAAATTGGTTTCATAATACATTTTTTCACATAGAGTCGTAGTTCCCAGGAATCTATCGATGACATTGAGGATTTACTGTATTTTTTATTCCTCTCTCTTTTTCTTACTGTGTCTGTTATTTCTGTGTTTTTGATAGCCTTCTGTTTGGTTTGTTGTAGGTAATTTTACTTTTTCAATTCCAGGGGTCCCTGAAATTAAACGTAGTGTACTGCATTGCAGGCGTAGGCCAGTAGGGCCACTCCTGGCAACACTTTCTTTCCTAGCTGAGAAGTATGAAACAAAGCAAGATAGTTTCCCTTGTGGCGATAGAATCCTTCATCCAGCTGTCCCCCCCACTCCCCCAATTGACTGCAGTGTAGGCAGCTCGTGCTGTGAGGTCCAAAGTGGGAAAACGCCACATAAACCACTGTGCGATTATAGAACAAAGATTTCAGCTCCGCCTGTGCAAGAGTGGTCGTTTTCACTTCCCTCTCTTGAAGAATTCTAGCCTGTTACTTGCAACTGTGCTCCTGTCACAAGTGTCTTCTCCGTTAGGTACTTTATTTGCAAGTAAGTGCTGGCCTGACTCACTGACAAATGGCTGCAAGAACATTGTCTCATGTGACTGACGATGCCAGGAGTTAAATCAGGATTGACATTAATATGGTGAGGGCTCACATCGGCTCCTCTGACCTTTTCTTGGCTGTCCCCCTCAGGCTGACCTTCCAACTTGGCAAGAAATGACTACAGCTGTCCTGGGCTTATGTCTGCCCTGCACCTACATGGTAGAGAGGAAGAGAGACCGTGATTTCTGGAATTCCCAGAACACTGAGCGTTCGTTACCTTTGGGGAACTCATTTGGGAAAGAGGTGTGCTGGGTTGGTTGCTTAAGGTGGATGGTATCCTTCACCTGGGGGAAAAGCCAAAGTCCCTTTCTTGTAAAATATGAGTTCACAGAGGTACAAGGTTATTGAGGGAAAAAGGGGGCAAGGAGGCTGGGAGCATCGCAACTATTTATAAAAGCTCAATCAATGTTGCCAGAAAATAAATACATGCTGAAAAAGTTATGAAAGCAAGGCTACAAATGAAATTCAATACAAATTGCTAAGTCCTTTTTAAAAACAACATCCTGAGAAAATCTTGCTATAATGAATTTCAGTGGGACGCTTTAGTTTCTGTCAAAATGGATCACATGGAGACAAAAATGTCCATTATGGTTATCTGAGGTATTACTGCAGCAGGCATCAGTTGGCCCTATGACAGCTCAAATAACCGACCTATCACCAAATGCTGCAAAAGCTCTGAAGACGTGTCTTGAATTTAAAGGTTCTGCTCTCATTTATCGTCATCGATGTTTGTCCAAATTTATTACTTAAATAAGTCTTCACAATAGATCTAAGTGCATTTTCTTTAAAAAATCATTCTGCTAGCATTGAATTGAAAGTGTATTCCATTTTTCTTAACAGATAGCATAAATGTGTTCCTCAACCAGCACATCTTGTAGGACAGCAGCAGTTTTAGGTCCTAGTGATCAGCATACCCCTCCCTTTCATTTCAGTAAGAACACCACGACCGTGACCTTGTAAATATTCCTCCATTTATCTCCCGTCAGTATTTGTTTTATCTGCAGAGGAAATGTGTTGGCCAGGGGTGTGTTAACTTCTAGTAGAGCCAACGTTACAGTAGCGTGTAATTTAAAGCTTTCTTGAAGACAAAATGCTCTGATACCTTGTTACTTTTAAGAAACAATGGTCAAGTTCTAAGCTGCACTCAACTAGGCTACATGAGAATAACTTGTATAGAGTAATCAAAGCCTGATGTTTACACCGGAAATGACATCAGAGCAGGTGCTGGAGGAAGCATGCCTGAGAAGGTAGCATGGGAAGTGGCCGGGACCTGGGCACTTGCATGGGCAGAGAATGCCTTCCAGCTAGGAGCTCAGACTTGTCAAGTGGAGGCACAGGGACTTGTCCAGCTGGAGTGGACAGACGGTGTTGGAGTGTCTGGAGCTAGAGTGACAGACCAGATCAGCAGAGAATTCACAAATACCCCTGCCTCCTGAATTCCTCTGGAAATAGAGGAGTTTTATTATTTCACGGCCATCTTGCAATCAAATCTACATCCCGTGAGAAACTATCCACGGAAGACAGAGTAGTACCTGTAAATTCCTGTCAATTATGTAGAAACATTATCATCAGTCTATCACACCAGACATCATACATTTCCAAGTATTAAATTGGAATTTTCCTCATGGTCATATCATTATATTACTGTGTCAATTTTGTCATCTAAATCCCTATGAGCCTTTTTAGGCCCTGCACCCCCTCCCCGCGCTTTTAAGTATTCCATAGGTGTGGATTCAGTGGACATTAAGAAACCTCCTGAGATGACTCACCTGTGCTTTCTCCCCTGGCAGGTGCGGTCATTGTGCTTCGGGTAACTGCATTGGGTCAGCTGATCATTTTACAACCTGAAAAATACATTGATGCATAAACTAACCACTTTGGGGGATACGTACATAATTTAGGAAATGACAGTGGACTGTTCTATGGGGTTAAAGATTTGCTTGAATTTAAAATGGGACAGAATTAAATTAACTTCACACTAGGCACGTACTAGCGTTGCTGTTAAGGGATTCAGTACTCCGTAATTCAGGCAAAGTACCTATTTTACATAAAAGGAAAGTGAATTCCCCAAATTAAAAGTAAAGCAGATTAATTTCAACACCACCAACACCATTCACCAAATCAAGTCTTTATCAATAGATAGAATCTTGTGCTTTGAGGGAAATTTGAGAGAACAGAGAACATTTCCTAGTGCCTAACTGGGATTTCACTTAAGCCCGAACCAAAAAGTATTCACATCTCAAATAGATTTAATATTTCTACCTCTTGCCGCCCTTATTGCTTTTTTTTTTTAAAAGCTATCCCTCAGATCAGTCAATAAATACAAAGTTGCCATAGTTGTTAACATAAATATTGAAATATAATTTGTGAACTTTATTGTCTTTTAAAAACGTTTCCAGTTGTATTGATATAAATTCAGCAAAGGAAGGCAACAAAAGGATGAGAAGTACTGGTTAACAAGAGAAGGCGGGCGCAAGCCCTAGAGCTGGGGGAGCTCGGAAGACACCGACACAGCCCGAGTCTTGACTGCATGTCACTACAGTGACAAAAATATGTTCCTATTCCAAAAAGCTGCTATGACGATTGCAAACATAGTGTCATAAATTGTTTTTGTGTGTGTAGGCTTTCATGTATTGTCTACATATACTTATGAGTGCAGTCTCATTTAACACACATATACGTATTAAATGTATGCAATATGTATACATACACATGTACACACATAGATTCCCCCTATGCATTTACTTATTTATTTTTTAATAAACTTTTATTATTTAGAGAAGTTTTAGGTTCACAGCAAAATTGATCAGAAAATAGACTCCCCATTGGAAGTTTTGTATGCTTGTAGATATCAGGGAAAAAAATATCCAACTAAATTTAAATGGCATTACTAGAATAATTATATTTACGTTTGTTTCATGTTATTCATCGGATGCTATAAATTATATAATATCAAAAAATCAAAGCTCAATAGGTCTTTAAGCTGGCCCTGACCCAGACCGTTATGCTCTGATTTAGGACATCGTGGCAATTGCTATGCAGTTTTCGATTACACATTTCAACTATCACGATCTCCCTCACCAAAGTGTGGTCATAGGATGGAAACCGGAAATGTCTGTGGAGCTGAGTGTGTATTTGTAAAATGCTTTTTTATTTTTCAAATTGGATAAGCCTGTTCTTATTTATCATGGAAATGGTGTTATTTACAGGTAAGAAATTGGGCTTCATTAGGGTTTAGCAGAAGAAAGGCGTGATAGAATTTCAAGGAATATTAGGATAAGTGCTCCAGTGATGTGCTGAAATATGTACCCAACAGTAGTCAGCAGCTTACTGTTCACGGTCTTACCAGCTTCCGTTCTGAATGGGTTTGGATCATGGTCAATTAAACCATAAGTACATGAGT